TCGATTGTTTTCGCTTGGGTTATGTTCCCTTAGCATATTGTGACATATTCGTTCTGGTTTTGGTCAGATTCGTCGCGCGAGGAGGCCGATTTGAGAGGCAAGGGCATATCAAGCTAGAGCTTTAGCCGGTTCGAGGTGAGTAATGAATATAAATGATGTCCTGTGGGTTTGAAACCCCGGATTTGCACATCGTAGTGCTATATTGAGGTGAGACACACGCTTAATGATGAGCATGGGGTCGTTTAATATTGAGGATTGTAACTTGGTCCGTCCCGAGTGATGCTTTTACCTCGTATTTGATTGAAGCTTATTTGTTATCATTATTATTTGGATTAATTGCCATATTTGGGCTTCGTGCCAACTATTTGAACCCTCCGGGGAGTTTTATCATTATTTCCTCACTGTTTTGACTTACTACTTGAACTCAGTCGTACTGTTTTCCACTATTTTACAACTCAGCCACTTGTTTTTTCTTTTTTTTTTCTCGGTTTTGAAACTAAAATGATATATTAAATGATGTTTTGGGCTGAGAATTACTGTTTTACTATTGCCCGAAGGGCTTATATGACATCTGGACTGAGTATGGCCAAGGGCCAGATGTGAGGATACTATGGGATCGGACTGCGCGCCGCAACATTGTTATACTAATATTGATATGAGGCCGAGGGCCTAGATTTGATGCCACAAGATGGCTTGATATTGCGCTTGGGCCATAAGGGGCCCCTCCCGGAGTCTGCACACCCCCAGTGAGCGCCGTCGACGATAAATAAATGGATTGGGCTACACGCCGCAGCGGGTACTATAGGGTGCCGTTTTATGTGTTGATTTTCTTTATATGTCTGCCACTTAACTGCTTAATTGTTGTAGCATTTCCATAATTTGTTTCCATTGGTTTATTGCTCCCAAATTACTTGTTTTAAACTGCCGGATTATAGATTACTCTATGTTCTTCCATGATTTCTTATTCTCAGCCATTATTTATGCTTATTACTCACTGAGTCGGAGTACTCATATTACTCCATACACCTTGCGTGCAGATCCAGGTGCATCTAAGGCTGAGTGAGGATTCTTCAGTTGAGCAACGTATATCCGGGAGCATCGAGGTAGCTGCATGGCGTCCGCAGCCCTGATCTCTCCCTTCTATCCTTTTATTTCATTCACATTCCCTAGATTGATATGTATTAGGTTGATAGACCTATATTAGAGACTCGGACTTGTAACACCGGATCCATATGGGCTATGTAGTATGATTTTATCTGAAATTCCGCATGTTTAACCCTTACCTCAGACTTCTAATATGGTAATTTGTCAATTTAACTGTGTTAGCTAATAATGAACTGTATGAGAAATAGGTTAAGGTTGTTAATTGGTCAGGCTTACTTAGCAGTGTGTTGGGCGCCATCACGACCGGGGTTGGGGTCGTGACAATCAAACCATTTGTCATTTGGAATTGTGTGCAAAAAGTTATGACCATTACACTGGAGGCTGTCCGGAAGAGCTAGGAATTTGTTCTTTGCGATCGCGAAGCGTTGTCCGCGATCGTGAAGGGCAAATTTTGGGATGAGAAAATTTGTGCTTCGCGATCGCAAAGTATTTTCTGAGATCGCGAAGAGTATATACTTGGACAGAATGTTTTAAAGACCTGTTCCGTGATTTTGAACCCTTTTTACACCATTTTTGAACGGGAAAAGAGCTTGGAGGCGAGTTTGAAGAAAGGAAACCATTGTTCTTCATTGAGGTAAGAATTTTGGACCCTAAAACTTGATTAATTGTGATTAAGGTACGAAAATATCAGTGTAAATTCATGAAAATCAGTAGAAAAAGGCGGAGTTAGGGCTTGAGATTATGAGACCTTCTAGAGATGATTTGAGGGGTCAAACGAACTTCGATTTTCGAGTTCTTTATATGTACGAACTCGTGAGATGATGAAGAACATTTTGGTATAAAGTTTTTCCAGTTCCAGGACGTGGGCCTGGGGGCCGGGTTTGAGCAATTTCGGGATTTTTGATGTAAATGGGATATTTTCGAGTGAGCTTCATTCCATTAGCATATTTTAATGATCATACACTGATTGTGGCTAGATTTAGAGCATCCGGAGGTTGATTCGCGTGGGTGAGGCATCGCAGGCTGTTTGGACCGGATCAAGGTAAGTAATGATTGTAAATACTGCCATGAGGGTTTGAAACCCCAGATTACACATCGTTGTGTTATTTTGAGGTGACGCACACGTTAGATGACGAGCGTGGAGTTGTGCGCCGTTGGGGATTGTGACTTGGTTCATCCCGTACGACTGTTAAGTCGCGTATTTGATTTGAAACCTTATGATATTCCATGTTCTAGAGATTGATATTATATTTTGGGTTGTATGCCATGTTTGGGGCCTTGTGCCGACCTGTTGAGACCCTTTAGGGGCATTTTTACTACTTTTCCTCACTCTATTTGTTTTGAAAACATATCCTCTGTCATGTTTTTACCTGTTATCGTTTAAATCTAGTTTTATCACTTTACTTCTTAAAAATATGAAAAACTGTTTAGGCTGAGTCCCTTGATTTTACTGATGGCCCAAATGATTGTGAGATTGATGACTGAGATAGACCGAAGGTCTGATTGTGAGGTTGATGACTGAGATAGACCGAGAGTCTGATTGTGAGGTTAATGACTGAGAGAGGCCGAGGGCCTAGTTGAGAGGATTATATATTTATGGATCGGGCTGCATGCCATAGCGATATGTTGGATCGGGCTACACGCCGCAACGATATAGCGCTTGGGCTATAGGAGCCCCTCCGGAGTCTGCACACCCCTAGTGAGCGCAGCGACTATATATATGGATCGGGCTGCATGCTGCAGCGATATATGGATCGGGCTGCACGCTGCAGCGGTTACTATATGGTACCTATTGAGTGTGAGTGTTGATTGGTAAGATTTGAGCCACGAGTGACTGAGAGGCTTGCCCGATGGGCTATAGATATACATGTACATAAGTGATGCTTTACCTGAGGGACCTGTTTATGAACTTACTGTTTTTTTACTCCTCCTTAAAGTGAGTTTCTATTGAATATGTTGATTTAATTACTACTTTCATTCATCTTTAGACTGAGACGCTATTGAAAATGTTGAACAAATGAAATAATCTTTCATTTGAACTGAAGTTTTTAAGTTATGAAAAGGGTTGTGAATTTCCGTTATGCCGAGGGGCTGTATACGAACTAAGTTTTTTTGCCCGAGGGGCCGATTATGGTTTTCATCTCTTTTATTATAAATGGTATCGAACCCTTACTGAAACTGTTGGAAAGCATTTTTAAATAATTTTTACCAAAAGATGGATTTTTTTAAAATAAGACGATTGACTCGTATTCTGATTTGAAAGCCTGTTGTGCTTATTGAGTGTATCATAAATGTGGATTCATTGTTTCCTACTACTCAGTCTTTATTTACTTTTATTACTTACTGGGTTGGAGTACTCACATTACTCTCTGCACCTCGTATACAGATTCAGGTATTTCAGAACCCGATAGCGGGTGTTGATTGCTCAGATGCGGAGTCATCAGAGATAGCAAGGTGGCTGCACGACGTTCGCAGCACCGCTTCCTTCCTCTCATTTTCATTACTGCATTTAGTACATTTTTAGACTCTTGTTGTATTCAGACCCTGGTAGAAGCTCATGACTAGTGACACCTCGATGTCGGGATTGTGTAATTATTCCGCACTTTTCTTTTAAATTTTCATTATGATATTATTGGTTTATAAATGGTATAAAAACAACTTTTATTGGAAAATGGTTGATTCGGGAGTTGTGTCGGCTGGCCTAGTTTCACGATAGGCGCCATCACGACCGAGTCGGTTTTGGGTCGAGACAATAATATAAAATCGTGCAGAACATAACGCTAGTATTATTTGCTGGACCTTTTTAAAATAATATTTAAAGCTGAGAAATTTCCAGCTTATTATACTGGAAGTATCTCATAAAATGGTTTTACAGTGGCTGATTCCTAAAATTAAGATAACACCAATATAAAAAAACTCAAATTCTTCCAGCTTATTATACTGGAAGTATATATGATTCAAATAAGAAGAACACATCTAAATTTTTAAGATTCCCATAATTTCTTGATTAAAATGATAGACTTTTATGATTATATATGTGAAATCAATAAAGTCTGCAGAATAAAATGGTACAAAATATAATGCTCGTATAACATGCTGGAGATTTTTGAATTAATATCAAAATCTAAGATTCTTCCAGCTTATTATACTGTAATTATCTGTTATTCAAATAAGAACACACATTCGCATAATTTCTTGAAAAAATCACAAGTATAATATACTGGAGCTTTATGAATTAATATGAAAAACTCATAAAACTCCAATGTATTATACTGGAAGTATCTTTTATCCAAACTACTATAAAAAATTATAAATAAAATGGTATAAAACAAAACCCCAGTATAGAATACTGGACGTTTGTTAATTTAATAAGTAAAACTTAGACACTTCCAGTATATTATACTGGAAGTATATGTGACTACAGTAACCCCATTATAATAAGCTGGAATTTGCTTAATTAATATGAAAAACTCAATTAATTCCAACTTATTATAATGGAGTTATATTTTTTAACAGTATAACTTCTAAATATCTAATTATTTGGGTTCATTTAGTACAGGATGCATACAAATTTCTTGATCATCGCATTCGATGGCAAATGGACAACAGATTATAAGTACTTAGATCATAAAACGAAGCTTCTCCTTATAAATGATGGGACTTCATTTGAAGAATTCATGAGTAAAATTTTTCAAGTTATGGAGTTCGATAACAACAAGTTTGAAGCAAAAGTATGAAATATCAACCTAGGTATTGCTAAGGGAATACAAGTGACAAAAGATGAAGATCTTACCTTGTGTATGATGCTTTTAAAAAACGATCCATACTATAAAGGTTCCAAATTTATTGTTGAAATATCAGAAATACCAGATCAACAAGCAGAAGGTAATGTAATAATGAAAATTGACAATCAACAATTATTGCACAGAAACACATATGTTTCGGAAGAGCAAGTGATGCTGATACCTCAAATAGCAGAAGAGCAGGAGATGCCAATTTATGACATTACAATGGAAAATGAAATTGCAATTCCTGTGGAAGATCAACACATTGAATCACTAGACACTATTGAAGGAAGAAAAAGGAAAGCAAAAGGAAAGGCAAAATAATCCCCATCAATAATACTAAAGGAAAATACATCATTGGATGATGTAAAACTCGGGTATGTTTTTCAAGACAAAAATGCTATGATTAGATGTTTTGCTAAACAACTATAAAGGAGCACTTTGAGTTCTATATTGACAGGTCAAGTAACACGAGATACTCTTTGGTATGTACTGATGAAAAGTGTGGTTGGACTGTTCGAGGTTCAAGAATTAAGGAATCAACACTTTTTAAAATAGTTAAATTTCAGAGAACACATGAGTGCTCGGTTGATATTAGAAAGTCACATCAAAGACAAACATCTTCAAATGTGATTAGAGATTACATGATTGACAACTTAAGGGACATAGCTACTGAAGTAAAGCCTAAGTTTGTCATTTCAGAAATGAAAAGAGCACATGAGATAGATGTTGGTTATGGAAAAGCATTGCATGCTATTCAAAAAGGGTTATCTTTATTAAGAGGAACAACTAAACAGAATTATGAGCAACTGCCATCATATTTGTATATGATCGAACAAAAAATCCAGGATCATATACTAATATTCAGAGAGATGCAGAAAACAGGTAAGTTTCTTATGTTTGATTATAATATAGTGGCCTTCATATATAAATATGGTGTAGTATTTTATACGGGAAATCTGTCTTTTGAGTTTGGTTTTTGCTAATGTTTTTTGTTTATTGAATTTAGTAATAAATTTTGTCCAGTATATTATACTAAAATCTCATGTGAATATTTGCCCTCCAGTATGTTATACTGGATGAATATTATAACATAGTTGAGTTTTGTTTGATTCTAGTATATTTTACGGGACGTCTGTCGGGTGTAAGCTTTCTCTCCAGTATATTATACTGGATGAGTTTTGTTTAACCTAGAACTTTGTTTTATTTGTCATTACTTTTTTTTAGTGATTATTTGTCTTCTTTTATTATTATGATCTTTAATCCAGTATATAATACTTGAGTTTTGTTTGATTTCAGTATATTTTAATGGAAGTCTGTCGTCTTTAAGCTTGTTGTCCAGTACGTCATTAGTATTCAGTATGTCATTGTGATGACTTTTAAAATGAAATTCTGTGTTCTGAGGCCTTGAAAACCTCATTTAGCATCACCTTGATTTGCATGCGCAGCCTAAATATGAAAATCTGTGAAAATGATAAATTTTGACTATAAAAGGAGCTAATTTGACTTTGGTCATTTTTGTGGGTAAACGGGCCCGAACCCGTGATTTGACGGTCTCGGAGGGTCTGTAGGAAAATATGGGACTTGGGCGTATGCCCGAAATCGGATTCCGAGATCCCAAGCCCTGGAAATGAATTTTTAAAGAAAATTATTTTTTGAAATTGTTTAAAGAAATTTGAAATGAAATTTGCTTAGAACATGATGGTATCGGGCCCGTATTTTGGTTCCGGCGCCCGATACAGGTCTTATATATGATTTAAGACGTTTCTGTGGAATTTGGTGAAAAACGGATGTCATTTGACGTGATTCGGACTTAAATTGCAAAATTGATGTTTAAAGAAGTTTTGAGAAAATTTCAATGATCTTGAGATTTAATTTGATGTTCATGATATTATTTTGATTATTTTATTACACAAATAAGTCCGTAGGATGTTTTTGAGGTTTGTGTACACTTGGTTTGGAGTTCCGAGGCCTCGGGTGAGTTTCGGGTCGGTTCCGGGGTGTTTTAGGCTTGAAAACAGAGCTGTTGCAGGCTCAGAGAGGTGGAGGACCTCTGAACAGGGCAATGCGGTCCGCACGATATGAACTACTCCCTCGGAGAGGCTTGTGCGGCCGCACTAGTTTTGGTGTGGTCCGCGGTGAAGAACACTTCACTGGTCCGATTTCGGAAGCCTATATCTTTTGATCCATAAGGAATTTTGAGATGATTCAAAAACGAAAGTTGTAGCCTTTCGTGTCTAGTTTTCAGAATAGGCATTTGGACATCTGTGGAGGAATTTATGGCCAAAATATTAAGACCTGTCACTGCAGAATACAAGAAGCCTGTGCGGCCGCGGTTGATTTTGTGCGGTCCACATAGGGCATCTGATGGTAGTATATTTGGACGGTATTTTCAGTTATTTTTCAATTTTTAAGACCCCAAAAACATAAGAGGCAATTTTTCCAACAACCTTTCTTTTCCAAATTGATTGTAAGTCGTTTTTAACTAGTTTTCTTCAATCATTAACATCTTTTAACATGATTTCAACTTCAAATCAATGATTTTCATGGGGGAAATTGGGTGTTTTGGGTAGAACCTAGGTTTTTCAAAACTTAGGGATTTGTACCTCAATTTGAGGTCCGATTTGAAAACAAATTATATACTTGAGTTTGTGGGGGAATGGGTAATCTGGTTTTGGTTTGAACCTCGGGTTTAGACCACGTGGGCCCTGGAGCAATTTTGACTTTTTGGGTAAAACTTTGGAAAATCCATTTTCATGCATTTAAATTGATTCATTTAGCATTTATTAATATAATTAAGTAACTTATGGCTAGATACGAGCGAGTTGGTGGTGGAATTAAGAGGTAAAGCGATAGTTGAGGCTTGAATTGCGTTCGTGACATCGAGGTAAGTGTTTGGTCTAACCTTAGCTTGAGGGATTAGGGGATGAGACCTATTTGCTATGTGGTATTTGTTGAGTACGACGTATAGGCATGGTGACGAGTATCTATACGTTGGTGTCTAGTATGACCGTGAGTTTTTATATTGTGAATATCTTGATTTCGTTGTATCTTTCATGCCTTGGTGATAATTTCTAATTATTGTGATAAGTTTGTGGAAGGAATTGTTACCGTTGAATATCGAGAAGCATTGGCTCAATTATATTACGAATTGTGAAAGTATATGAGTTGATTGAACCCTTTGGAGCATTGGCTCAAGTGATAAAGTGAGTTATGAAATAAAAGTGAAAGAAAGAGAAAGAGTTATTAAATTGTTCCCTTGCCGGGATATTGTTGCTTTATTGGTTATCTCCCTTGCCGGGATTTCATTGTTTAATTGTTGTTCCCTTGCCAGGATTTAATTGTATAATTGTTGTTCCCTTATCGGGATTCCTATATGATCTTGTTTATTTCCTTGCCCTTTGTTTGTGATTGTTGTTTGGGTGAGGAAGAGTGTTAAAGCACGAAGGGTGATGCCGTGCATTATTTGCTATTGTGAGGAAAGAGTGTAAAACACGAAGGGTGATGCCGTGCCGTATGATGTACCATTTCGTGCCGATTTTATTGACTATATGGTGAGGAAAGAGAGTAAAAGCACAAAGGGTGATGTCGTGCATGTCTTTATTACATGATTGTTTTGGTGAGGACGAGAGTAAAAGCACGAAGGGTGATGTCGTGCACACTTTTATTATATAATTGCTTTGGTGGGGATGAGAGTAAAAGCACGAAGGGTGATGCCGTGCAATTGTTGATTTCTGCTTCTTTGTTGATATTCGAGTTATGTTGTTTCTTTCCTTACTTGATGCCTTTCTATTTCGAACTGTTATCTCGCCCACAACATGTTCCCCCTCCTACATTGACTGGTTATTTCTATATTTCTTTTCTGCTGTATATATTTGGATTGCACAGGTTTATTTGGTAGTCTGGTCCAAGCCTCGTCACTACTTCGCCGAGGTTAGGCTAGGCACTTACCAACACATGGGGTCGGTTGAGCTGATACTACACTCTGCACTGTGTGAAGATCTAGGAGCAGCTTTCAGATAGTAGTTGGAGTGCTTTCTTCAGTCCACCCGGAGGCCCAAGGTAGACTTGTAGGCGTCCGCAGGCCCTGACGTCTCCCTCTATCTCTACTCCTTGTTTCATTTTCTTTTGTTCTGAAACAGTGTATTGTATTTCTTCAGACCTTTTATGTAGTAACTCTTAGACAGTCTGTGACACTCTGACACCAGGTTTTGGGTATTGAGGTTTTAAAAGTTGTAATAGACGTAGCCTTAAGATATATAATTGTTGGCTTCCGCTTATTTATTTAAAATTCCGCTTTTATCATTTTATCGCCTTGTGTTGGTTAAAAAGAAGTAATATGAAGGTGTAGCAAGTAGTTAAGGTTTGGCTTGCCTAGCTCCCATTAGTAGGCGCCATCACGACTCCCGAGGGTGGGAAATCCGGGTCGTGACAAGTTGGTATCAGAGCTCTAGTTTACATGGGTCTCATAGTTCACAGACAAGCTTAGTAGAGTCTGAGGGATCGATACAGAGACATCTGTATTTATCCCCAGAGGATACAGAGTTAGGAAAAACTTCACATTTGTTCTTTCTCGTTGTGCGATTTCATTTCTCGATGCTAATTGAACTTCTACTCTATTCTTTCTCAGATGGCGAGAACACACGCTTCCACATCCACCGCTCATCAGCCCAAGCCCCCAACAATAGCTACCACGAGGGGCAGAGAACGAGGCCGTGCTAGAGGCCGAGGTAGGGGCAGAGCTCAGCCCCGAGCAGCAGCACCAGTGGCGGAGCCTCAGGTTGACTTTGATGAGGAGGTTCCGGTCCCAGCAGTTCTGGTGGGCCCATCTTAGGTCCCAGAGGGGTTTATTGCTACCCTAGTTCTTCAGGATGCTCTGGTCCGACTAGTGGGCCTCTTAGAGAGTGTCACCCGGACAGGCTTGCTTCCTATAGCACCAGCCATCTCTCAGGCTGGAGGAGGGGCCCAGACTCCTGCTACTCGCACTCCGGAGCAAGTAGCTCCTCAGATTCAGACTCCAACGGTTCAACCAGCAGCTATGTCTGCTGATGCTTTGTGGAGGCTGGATAGGTTCACCAAGCTCTTCACTACTACTTTCAGCGGTGCATCTACTGAGGATCCCCAAGATTATCCAGATAGTTGCTTTGAGGTTCTCAGGAACATGGGTATTGTTGAGACCAATGGGGTTGATTTTGCTACATTTCGCTTGTCTGGATCCACCAAGACTTGGTGGAGAGACTATTGCTTGGCTAGACNAGGAGGGGCCCAGACTCCTGCTACTCGCACTCCGGAGCAAGTAGCTCCTCAGATTCAGACTCCAACGGTTCAACCNGATCCACCAAGACTTGGTGGAGAGACTATTGCTTGGCTAGACCAGCCGGATCGCCAGCCTTGACTTGGGAGCAGTTTGCACAACTATTTCTGGAGAAGTTTCTCCCCATTACTCAGAGAGAGGCCTATCAGAGGCAGTTTGAGCGCCTCCAGTAGGGTTCCGTGATGGTTACCTAGTATGAGACCAGGTTCATCGACTTATCTCGCCATGCTCTTGTCATACTTCCCACCAAGAGGGAGAGGGTGAGGAGGTTTATTGACGGTCTTATTCAGCCGATTCGTCTTCAGATGGCCAAGGAGGCAGAGTTGAGATGGTTCTGTCACAGGGAGGTGGTCATGGGTCGGATAAAAGACCTCGTCATTCAAGCAGATTCAGTGGTACCTCGTCTAGAGGTAGAGATTCATATGGTAAAGGCCATCCTCCTAGGACCTTTCAGTCAGCGCTCCAGGTTTCTCACGGTACTTCAGGTGGCCGTGGTTCCCAGTTGTAGTATCTTGATCAGCAATCTTACAGTGCACCACCTGCTCCTATCAGTGCACCACCGCTTCAGAGTTTTTGGGGTGGTCATTCAGGTCGTTAGGGCCAGCAGTCTCAACAGCCGAGGGCTTGTTACACTTGTGGTGAGACAGGTCACATTACTAGGTTTTGCCCTCGAGCACCGAGTAGCTCTCAGCATCAGGGTTCTCGCACTATGGTACATTTACCCGGTGTTCCACAGGCCGCCCAGCCAGTTAGGGGTGGATGTAGAGGTGCTAGAGGTGGAGGTAGAGGTACGAGAGGTGGAGCTAGGCTGCCAGAGGTGGAGGCCAGCCAGCGGCAGGCCGTCCCAGAGATGTGGTTCAGGGTGGTGGGGCCCAACCCCGATGTTATGCTCTTCCAACTAGGCCCGAGGCTGAGGCTTCAAATGCAGTTATTATAGGTACGGTTCTGGTTTGTGATAGAGATGCTTCAGTGTTATTTGATCCAGGGTCTATGTATTCGTATGTGTCATCTTATTTTGCACCGTACCTGGTCATGCCTAGTGATTCATTAAGTGTTCCTATTTATGTGTCTACGCCGGTGGGTGATTATATTGTGGTTGATCGAGTCCATCATTCTTGTATTGTGGTGATTGGGGGTCTTGAGACTCGTGTAGATTTATTGCTTTTAGATATGGTTGATTTCGATGTTATATTGAGGATGGACTGGTTATCACCTTACCACGCTATCTTAAACTGTCACGCCAAGACTGTGACCTTAGCTTTACCGGGTTTGCCTCGTCTAGAGTGGAGAGGGACTCCTGGTCATTCTACCCGTAATGTTATCTCTTATGTGAAGGCTCTACGTATGGTCAAGAAGGGGTGTTTGGCCTATTTGGCATATGTTCATGATTCTAGTACTGAGGTTCCCGCTATTGATTCTATGCCCGTTGTTTGTGATTTTCCTAATGTTTTCCCTTAAGACATGCCAGGTATGCCCCCGATAGGGATGTTGACTTTTGCATTGATTTGGCTCTGGGCACTCAGCCCATTTCCATCCCGCCGTATCGTATGGCCCCGCCGGAGTTGAAAGAGTTGAAGGAGCGGTTGCAAGACTTTCTTGAGAAGGGTTTCATTAGACCTAGTGTTTCGCCTTGGGGTGCGCCGATGTTGTTTGTTAAGAAGAAGGATGAGTCGATGAGAATGTGTATTGATTACTGATAGTTAAACAAGGTTACAATAAAGAATAAGTATCCATTGCCGATGATTGATGATTTATTCAATCAGCTTCAGGGTGCCAAGGTATTTTCAAAGATTGACCTGAGATCTGGCTACCATCAGTTGAGGATTAGGGCATCCGATGTCCCTAAGACAACATTCCACACTCGGTACGGGCATTATGAGTTCTTGGCTATGTCATTCGGGTTGACAAATTCCCTAACAACTTTTATGGATTTGATGAACCGAGTGTTCAAGCCTTATTTGGACTCGTTCGTGATAGTCTTCATTGATGATATTTTGATATACTCCCGCAACCGGGAGGAGCACGAGCAACATCTCAGAGTGGTTATTCGGACTTTGAGGGATAGTCAACTA